TCGAAAATTATCCTGTCAAGTAGTTTTGCTAGAGATGGTGTTTTCCGCACACCCTGATAGTTATTAACATTGGACTGAGATCCAGACTTGTAGACGGGAATGATAATTGACGTTTTCCGTGTTTCAGGAAATGAACCTTTTGAAGTATAAACGGAGAATAAATGACTATGCAATATGGAAAGATTGGTTGTTTGCCTAATAATCGAATTTGGAATCCCATCTGTTCCTATGCAGTGTGAGTTTTTCAAACGACTAATGTGTTCCTTCATGAGATTTGAGGAGCATCGGTTGTACTGTGTCCTATCTGAAAGTCAGCAAATGAAGGGGACCGGGTCGGACTCAGTATTAAGGTGTTTTACAAAGAAAGCACTAAACAACTCCGCCTTGTCAGTGTCATCGGTGAGGAAGACTTTGTTATCATTTAGCAAGAGTGGAAGTTCGTGACCACGCTTAGAGGAAAACCGATGACGGAAGATGTTAACGACGGATTTGTCAGGGTTTGGAGTAATGAGAGCAAGTGATTCTCTTTGGTTGACACACGAATGGAGTATCCTTGAGCCCATTTTGAAAATCACTGGGATTCTAAAATTAAAGGATAAAGAACTAGTAGGTAGGTCGCTCAGCTGCCGTCTCAAATTTCATAGTCTGTTGAGAATAAAATGAGGAACAACGGAATCTGAAGAATAAGGTCACTGACAAAGAGGTCCTTTTTGCAAGCACCAAAACAAGGAGCACTAACACTGGTAAACATAAGATCCAAAATATGATTATCTCTTTTTGCTAGGCTTACCCACTGGGACCATTTAGAACAATTGGTAATATGTTGGGAGGGGCTGTAATCTAGGTGGAAAGCCATTGGAAACCCAGTCTATTTCAGAAAAGGTTAATATCCCCAATGATTATTTTAACATCGAAATTAGCTTCCGATATTAAATTTAAGATTTCACAGATTTGCGAATCATCACTGGCTGAAGAATTTGGGAATTGTGGATACAGCCAATAATTGCCTTTCTTTACGGCTAGAGAATAATAGGTGCGAAGCCAAAGGTTTTCCGTGAATGAGGAGGCATCCAGGTAATAGGGAGTGTGCTTTAGGATGATTTAGGATAAAGAAGACCACCGCCTCCACGCCTAGTTGTGCGGTATTGACGATCAAAATCGAAGTCATTTATGAAAAGGACAAAGTCAAAAATCAGAGAATGGATCCAAGATTCTGTTATACAGATAATATCAGGCGTCATTTCGAGAGCAATGGCTCTGATTTGGCCGTCTTGTTTATAACAGGCCTGACTTTCAATAATATAATGTATAATGAGTTTCGAAAAGCAATGTTATTGTAGATCGCATTTAAAAAGATTTGGAGGCGGATATGGAAGCTGTGAATTAATGAGGCTTGGAGAATAAGAACCAGTTAGTTTAGAGTTATTGACGTATGTGGAGTCAGCAAGAGAAGGATGAGCATGAGACCTAAAGGATGTGGGGATATAGTTTTCGAGCATTGAAATGGTATGGGAATTAGAACAGGGATAGGCTTGTTGATAGTTAAATGGTGGAGAAAGGGGTGGAGGAGGGAGCCTTGAAGGGAAGTAGAGGCTGGTGGGGGAGGGTAGGCGGTTATAAGAACAAAAGTGTGGGAAAACAGGTCTAGGTTGTAAGTCAAAGGAAGTGGGTTGACGTACCAGAGAGCAATTGATCTTAAGAACTGGGAAGCCTGAATTAGGCTGGGGCATAAATGAATTAGGGCAATTCACGTATTAATTATTTTCTGGATATATAGTAGGGCTTTGGTAAGCAACCGGTACGCAGGACAGTTAATTATTTGGGAATATAATTGGGGCTGCAGGGTTTGTAGACGTGCTGGACTGAACAGACGTGGTAGATCTAAGAGAAGGCGGCGTCCCTCTAGATGTAACTGTACTACCTTTCTTTTGGATCGGAACCTGATTCAGTTTTGGAGTCTCACCGTTCTGACGCAAGCCAGAGGTGATTTAACTGTAGAGCTTACAGCACCCAGTTGAACAGGGGAACTTATCAGTCTAGCTGATGCAGACAGATTTTCATTCGTCCCAGGGGGGCTATCCGGAGGATACAAAACGACAAATGGGCCTGCTGCTGCTGCAGCTAGTTTAGGGGTAGGCAAATGATTCAAGTGGCTCGAATGAAATGGTAATGTAAGAGTAAGGGGAAGGAGGGAGTCAGATGTCACAGGAGTAGGACAAGCTGAATTCTCACGGCCACTTGTATTATGGCCGAGTTAATGAGCACTAGACTGAGAAGCAGTGGGTTTACGTGAGAAGAGAGAACCGTTTCTACGCTCCATTGGTGTAAGATCATGACATAATTACATTTTTGCATTTTCCAGATACGCCTTGACACGATCTCGATGGGCAAATATGGTGTCAACCTCGATTAATGAAAATAGTTTGACTTAGATGGGTGAATTTTTGCTGCGGGAGGACAGGCGCTTAGCATCGGCTTATTTGAAAGTTGAAACCATATAAATACAGGAAATTGGTCGCGACATCATTTGGCCTAGCAGAGCGAGGAATATTTTTCAACAAACAGTTATAAGCATGCCGTGGTCTGCCATTAGATTCACTAGCGTTCAAGTAAATAATTATATCGAGACGTCTACATTCTTCAGAGGGAATGTCGCAGATGTTCCCTTGGAATATATTTTCAAGAACTGACAGCAAAGTGCCAAACTTTAGCATAAAGTCATTTCAGTTGTCAAGTGCAGACAGATTAAGCTGCCTACCAGTTACAACGAGTGACGACTGACTAGTAATACCATCTGACTTAGATTTCAGTAAGCCTTCGGACTTAGGTTTATTTAAGCAATGCTTACTTACAGAGGCCGGGAGCTTGCGCCGAACAGTGACTTTTACTCTCAACTTGTATCGAGGCAAGTTGTAAATAGGGAGACTTTTGGCAGACCAGGTGACTAAATTTTAGCAGGAGGCTAAGGATGCTAAAATTAAACTTCACAGGATTATTATATTCTTTTCCTATTTGTGCATATCGCACTTTGACATTTGTTTGTTTGAACTAGCCAGGGTTGTACATGTTAGTTTAATTTTTGGTTTTCGGGTTGCGCGCCCTATTAGATCTCATCCACATCTGCATTATTTAGTCATGTGATAGAAATTCATTATTGCCCATTACCTTGCCTTAGTTATTTCATTTTACTTTATGTAATCTGGTTGCAGAAACTGAGGAACCGTTCCCGGGTGAGGCTACTAAAGACGGTTTCTGATTGGACAAATATTTGTGTCAAACTTTATTATATATAAATTTATATATCATTTTTATAAATCATTGCAGTTATAAAGTACAGATAGATTAAGCTGCCTACCAGTTGCAACAGGTACTTTCTGTTTTCCTTGAAACATGCGCGGTTGGCTTTTTCGAACTGCCTGCTCGTGGGTTATCTTCTAGAAAATAACCCACGAGCAGGCAGTTCGGAAAAGCCAACCGCGCATGTTTCGAGGACAACAGAAAGTACCTGTTGCAACTGGTAGGCAGCTTAATCTATGGGAAAATGGGGAACAAACGAGACGCTTAGGTGTTCAAGCTAAGCTTCGGTTGAACACCTTAGCGTCTCGTTTGTTCCCCATTTTCCGTCCCTAAATAGACCCTTCTCGCTAAGAGACCTTGTTGTCTGATACGGTGCCTTGTCGGCTTGCTCGCTAAAGCGGGTCGCTTTTCCTTTCCCGATCCCAGAGGTCGTTTATAAGAGATTGTCTGCATACAGCATTTGCGGGTAAAGTCTGATGGCGGGCGCATCTCAAGAACGTTAACGAAACGATCAGACACAATCATGGCGGCTTAGTTTACCTCGGTGCGCTAAAAAAATCAAAGCAATATGGTAATGGTAGTGAACACATCATAGTATATTACATTCCAATGCTGACATTCCCAACTGATTATCGTCCATTTCGATCGCTTGGCGTACAGTCCACCAGCTAAGCAGGTCAAATAACAGGCACATCCTTACTGACGTTGCGGGACGGTCCACTGGAAGCTTAAAGCCACGAAAAATCCAAGTTTGAGCAAGCTGCCTGAAATTTCCTAGAGGGGTAGCCGTGTCCTTGCGTACCTTTTGATATACTCTTAGGCTGAACATAAGGTCTTTATAGCTATTTTATATATTTTTAGCGCATCAGACGCGTAAGCCTTGCACGCAGCGTCAGTGCTCGTTTTAGTACTACACCATACGCGTTTCCAGAACGAGGATTTAGCCTGCAAAAGTCCAGCAACGCCATTCTCCTTAACATTATTGCCGTTTCGACCTTTTTTGTCGGCAAAAATTAATGGACGTGGTCCACTTTAAAGAACTGACCTCAGTGTCTAACTCAAGATATCAAAAAAGGGATCAGTAAAAATGAAGGCTGTGGAAGAAGTTTCATGAAAGCAACAATAATGCGGCCATTACAAAGTATGAAGTCCAAATGAACGAGATTTCGGGGTTCATTTGCTCCACCGAGCCTTTAAAAATCCGAAATGGATTAACAGCTATTCGCAAAAAGCACCGGTCATAGGAGTCCGATTCTTGTCACGAGGCCGGGTGACAGTTTGGAGATATCGGACAGCACAAACAAAGCTGAGCATTTTTCTCAGATCTTCCAATCTGTTTTCTCAAGGGCAGCAGTTTTCATCCCGCCTACTGCTGGGAGCATTGGAGCCCCGATTATTGAAAATATTGTTTTTCGAGAAGAAGCGATTTTCGAAGAACTAAGAAGCCTGAGGAATTTAAATCTCCCGGCCCGGTTCGGGATGCTTGCAACACGCTTCCATCATTCCCAGTCTAACATTTGACTCTGGGCTGCTGTGCTTTGTTTCCAAGCTTTTGTTTAGCATACACCCACAACTGTTTTATTCCGCAGGTTTCGAAGTCGCCAGAATGTAATACCATCGTTATTTGATCCTCTTCTTTTTTAGTCCTCCGTTGCAACTTCGAACCCGGGCTTGCACTAATAGCCTATTTAGGGCCATCCACCATGGTGGTTTCAACTGTGTTTGCTGCGATTGGAATTGTCGCCGCGGCTTATTGCGGGTTTTATCTCCTTCGTCCATTTATAACCTTCTTTCTGCTACGATTCTGCCTCTCCAAACGGGCAGACCTGAAAAAAGCAGGCGATTGGGCTATTGTAACTGGGGCGACCGACGGCATTGGCAAGGCGTTCGCCCACGAGTTGGCCCGTGATGGGATGAACGTTTTCCTTATAAGCAGGTCAACTGAAAAACTGACCAAAGTGGCTAACGAGATTGAGTCCCTCTTCAAAGTGAAGACTCAGATTTTTACTGCCGATTTCACTACCGTAAGTTTTTTCTGCCGTTCCTACCCTTGCTGCTTATTGCACCTTGCTCTGAGGCTCGGCTCACAGACAACGTAGCTTTAGCTTCATCAGTTGCTTTCTTTTAAAATGGTCATGTATTGGCTTGTGGTAACAGTTCATTAAGACTGACCACGTTTGCAATCAGTTCACGAGGCCATTTGTGGCCTATGCCTTCGCACCTACTCGACCTGCACTCACGGTGCCTTGAACCCGGAACCCTAATTCTGCCGAGAAGTCTGACTATGTCGGTAGCTCTTGGCTGTCTCGCTTATGTGCTATTCTGTGTGCAATGTCACGCATCCGAGCGTTTAGTGCCTTACATCCCTCCTTTAGATCAACTTTTATGGAACATTTCAGTTCAGGATCGCCATGTCACAGACCGACATTGGGTCTTGTAATGTTTTGTAGAGTAGTTGATGTGGATGCATCGAGTAGGCCGGCAATGTAGCGCGTCCTTCGGATCGTGCACACCCGGATTTCTCATAGTAGTCCGTATCGATGTTTTATGCTCCTTCAGTAACTGATTCTGGCAGCCACCTTTCCGCGCATATTGTTCATTTGCCATTCTGCGTGTGTGCCTACGGCGTTGCTTGATGCATTGTCTTCCTCTTTTAGACCGACTTTTACGAAAGTTTACAGCGAACAATCGAAGAACTTTCTTCAGTCTCCATTCTCATCAACAACGTCGGCGTCGCATACTCTCATCCGGATGCCCTAGCCACCTGCAAAGAGCTGACTCTCGAGAAACTGCAGGGTATGATTGTCTGTAACGTGACGTCAACAACCTGCATGAGCCGCATCACCTTACCAAAGATGCTAACCTCGCCGCCACCGCATGGTGTCCATCGCTACATTGTCAATATTTCATCAATTTGTGACCGCTTCCACTGCCCTTATCTTTCTGTGTACAGTGGCACCAAGGCCTTTATAAATAATTTTACCGCCTCATTAGCTGGTGAATTGGTAGGAACCTGCGTTAAGGTACAAACTATTAGTCCCGGCGCTGTTGTTACGGCTATGTCATTCGACAAACGCCCGGGTTTCTTTGCACCCCAGCCTTCCGCGTTTGCGTCATCCGCGCTCTCCATGTTGGGTGTGGGAAGCGAGAGTTGCGGTTACTTTGCTCATGAACTGTTTCGAACCGCCATTCTTGCCGTCCCCGAGTGGCTGCGCACTGCACAAATTAAAAGCCGTATGCTGGAGTTTCGAGACGTGTACTACAAGCGTCAAAAGTCAAAGGATTTGTAAGTACACTGTCAGTTTCCTGATTTTGTGAACTATTCCAACTGTGTATTTCTGCTACTGCACGTTGTCATCTCCTATAACTTTTATTGGACTTAACTACTGCCCCTCGTTAGCCCGTCGTACTCGTTTTCATTGCGTACCTTCGTATGACTGGACATTGAATTTTCCAAATAAAATATCGACCTGACCACCCAGTGGACTTTTTATCGATATCTTTGTTTTGTCATTGGAGTGCAGTCGGGTTTTTGACCAGCCCCAATTTATCGAGTTGTTCTCTGTCCTCAGTATTCGGATATCACTGTAAAATCATCCCTCAACTCCTGATATGGGTTCAAATTCCAACAAATTGCAGAAGGAGGCCGAACGGGCTGCAGCGGGACTCACGTCTCTTGCCGTACTTCCTTACGATCCTAGTTGCCGCTGCAGCGGTGCTCATTGATTGGTTAATACGGTTAATATTCCCGACAGCAACTGACAAGACAGAGCCCGTGGCTCACTTGGTAAAGCGTTGGACTTACTAACGTTCTATGACTGTCGAATGTGGTTGTGAGCTTCAGATACCCCACAAAACCGGAGCTCGTTAGGTCTAGTTTATGATTGCCGATAAGACCGAAATGGCCATCCTACTACCCCATTTCTGTCGGCGGTCCCTCTTCGTGTATTAGGTCGCTGTGCGTTTCCCATCAGGACGCTGGACGGAGCCTTAAAGCCTTAAATTTTCATCATATCACCTCGGAATACCCACTATCTTAGCTATATATATGTATATGTACACATATGTAATGGTAGAGGAGGCGCTCACTGATCGTTTTTCCGGGACTCACTCATCCCGTTGTGCCTTACGGACTCACTTTTGAACCGAACCAGCAGCCGCACAACGTTCCATGTAGGAAGTGTTATTACCGACAAAGACATGGGAGAATGGAAGGGCCATTTCTGGCTCATTAGTTGTCGTCAGTCAGTCATACCCGACCCCGAAGTGTGGGACACCTGAGGTTCGACCCCGCGACATGTTAGTTAGAAGTCCAACGCCTCTGACTACTGAGCCAAGAGCTCGTTATCTTGTCGGTTGCGATCCAGAATATACAATGGTGTTCCACACTTTGGGGTCAGGTATGACTGACTGACGACGGCTAATAAGCTAGAAATGGCCATTCCTTTCTTGTACAATTGGTGTCTGACGGCCTCGTATGGCGCCGACAGGTCGATCCTACTACTGGCTGACTTGGCGTCGAAGTGCTAGGCATCGACTACATATTGTAATTTGTTCCCGGCTCAGACGAGTACTTTTGAACCGTATGGCATTGCCGACAAAGACAAGGGAGACTGGTCTTTGTCGGTAATACTATGCTGCCTATATCATGCGTCGCTGTGCGGCTGCTGGTTGGGCTCGAGAGAGAGAGCCCGTAAGGCACAACGGAACGAGTGCGTTCCGTAAGAACGATCGGTGAGCTCTTCCTACCATTACTTTTGCATCGTTGAAGCCGAATTAAGGATTATTTTCGCGGCAATGCGTAGAGACGTGCGATTGTTCATCCTGTCGCTTTACAGCTGGAACATGTTCTTGCATGCGCGTTCCTAGTCGTTTATCGGTTCTGCCGCAGTAGTTGACCGGACAGTAGACGATTGACGTAGTGAACAACTCCTGACATGTCCTCAGGCGAATGTTGCCCTTCCACTCCTAGCATGAATGTTGGATCGCTGAATGGCGTGTATTGAGGGCCGGCTATCAAACCGAGAGACTTATTTCCGTCGAATAAGTAGTCGCGGATTGGCAGCATCACTGATGCTGGCGCGCAGTGTTAACTTGGTTTTACCAACTATTTTACAATTCAGGAAAAACCGATGAGACACTGTGACATGGCGCTCTGCTGAAGCCACTAAACAACTCCTCTCGCCCCAACTGCCCCGTATTCCAATTCATATAGACTACAGGATGTAACCAAACCGTCTGCTGCGGGACTCGCGCCACCTGTCGTACTTCCGTACTATCCTAGTTGTCCCTGCCGGCTGCACGCATTAATTGACTAGGATAGTTGATATTCCTGACAGCAACGGACAAGACAGAGGGCTCAGTTGGTAAGGTGATGGACTTAATAACGTTCTACAGCCAAAAATGCGTGTCTGAGCCACGGGTACCCCAAAAATTTGAGGTTGGGAGGGCTGGCTGGCGATGGCCAATAAACCAGAAATGACCACCAGATTCTCCCTCGTCTGCGCATATCACTAGTCACTGGGCGATTGACTATGGGGCTCCAGATCGAGCCATAAAGCACAACGATACCGAATTATACATATATAGCAAACATATTATACCGTACGTAGGTACCAACTAAAAGCCGAGAGACGTGTTTCGCCGACATCCTGCCCCTGCGTGACAAAGCTGCGAGGGCTCTTCAGTGGGTCCCTCAGCGTCCCCTACGCGGTTTCTAGTATATGAACTTCAGAGAAGAATCGAGCGAATAATTGCAAAAATTATCTAGTGCAAGACATGGGGTTAAGTTTCCGGGACATGATTTTTTAGGGTCAGACTCAGAAAACGTATAGACAACGCACGGGGGCTCACTGAGGACGCGAACCCCTCGCAGCTGTGTCACGTAACGGCAGAATATCGGTGAAACACGTGTCTGAGCTTTTAGTTAATACGGTGTAATACTTTTGGTATATACGCTTCACACAACTCGCAAAACTACTTTATGCAATGGGCATTACGTGGTTATTCCGCAGTGGTTATTTGTCTTTGGCTCGAATGTTCATTGAAATTTCGGGTCTAACCCTAGAAGGCCATGTCCCAGAAACTAAACTCCATGCCCTGCACTGCATAATTTCTAGAATTATTCGCTCGACATGTGTATATACACTGGTAGGGGACGCCCACCGATCGTTCTTACGGAACTCACTCGTTCCGTTGTGCCTTACGGACTCACTTTCGAGTCCAACTAGCAGCCACACAGCGGTGCATGATATAGGCAGAATGTTATTACCGACAAAGACATGGGAGACTGGAAAGGTCATTTCTGGCCCATTAGCCGTCGTCAGCCAGTCATACTTGACCCCGAAGTGTGGAACACCTGAGGCTTGATCCCGCGACCTGTTAGTTAGAAGTCCAACGCCCCTGGTCACTGAGCCACGAGCTCGTTGTCTTGTCGGTTGCGATCGGGAATATACAGTAGTGTTACACACGTTGGGTTTTGCCTCCTCCGTTTTCCCGTCGTCGTCACTACATTGTGTTTGAACTCGTTGGAAGAGAGTTCTGACACAACTGCGCTTGTGACCTGGAATTGTGCCTCAGAACTTTCTTCACTTTCGGCGGCCGGGTTTACGAACAGAAGAAGGGAACACCGATGGGATCCCCCTGTCTGGGTTGATTGCTGAGGCGGTTCTTCAGAGGCTAGAACGACTGATCTTCCGTTCATACTCCCCAAAACTCTGGGCCGGATATGTCGGCGACACATTTGTCGCAATCAAGAGGAACAACGTTCAGGACTTCAAGGACTTACTGAACTCAATATTCCCCGACATCCAATTTACAATGCAAGAGGAGAACAACAACCAGTTGCCCTTCCTATACGTGAATGTTTCAAGGACGGTTAGTGGGAGGATAAGAACTACGGTATACCGTAAGCCGACGAATACTAGATGCATCCTCCAATTCCGAAGTAACCACCCTATTGGTCACAAGCGCAGTTGTGTCAGAACTCTGTTCCAACGAGTTCAAACACACTGTAGTGACGACGACGGGAAAAAGGAGGAGGCAAAATACCTACATTCTTTCTTCACAGTCAATGGTTACCCAAGATCCTTCATACGTGAGTGCCGAAGAAAGTCTACCCGTCAGCGATCAGACGGTAAGAAGCCGAAGTTTTGGCTTACGATCCCCTACGTGAGGAATGTTTCCAAGGCGACAGCTAGAATCCTAAACTCTTTTGGGATTGGGGTGGCCCATAAAACGGAATCCACTATCAGACAGCAGATAGTGAGGCCCAAAGAACCGCTACCGGCAACGGAACAATCAGCAGTGGTCTACAGCATACCGTGCCAAAATTGTAATTCGAGGTATGTTGGTGAAACGGAGAAACGCCTCTGTACCAGACTGCATGAGCACCAGCTTGCAGTCAGCCGCGAGGATAAACTGTCACTGGTATATGGCAACATGCAACAGGAGAAGCATAGTTTCGACTTTGGGGAAGCAAGCGCCCTTGGTCGAGCCCATGACAAGATGGCTGGGCTGTTGCTCGAAAGTTGGTCCTCAGTTGGCACAATCAACAGGGCTACTGATCTTCATCCGGTCTATCAGGCGCTACGTACAAGGCTCCAGTCAGTCCAGACCGGGCCGACAGTACTGGTGAGCGAGTCGCGGCTCCTCCAACAGTTGTCACCTTCACAGCAGAGGGAAAGAGCCAGACGGAGGTCACACGACCAACGCAAGACATCGACCCACCGGCGCGCCCAAACAGCCGAGCGTGATTCGCACATGCAACGGTAGCTGATCAGCCCATGCGATTATGAGGGGAGGGTCCATGGGCACACAGATTTTGCAACGACTACGACAGCCGGTCAGGGGGCAGACGTCACAGGAGCGCGCCATCGGCCGCCCACGGAGGGACCAAAGCCAATCCCCAGCCAGAAGGCAGGTCAGAGTTCGTGCGTCGGACATGCCTATAAAAAAATACAGGCGGCGAGACGGAACAACTCCGAGCCAGCAGAAACAGGCGCCCCACCACTCTGATGATGGAAACTAGGAAGTTTCTGAAATGTCAGCACCAATACAGTGTGGTCCATGCAATCACCCCCTTTTTCTTCTTCGTTTTCTTTTGGGGATTATGAANGGCATTACGTGGTTATTCCGCAGTTGTTATTTGTCTTTGGCTCGAATGTTCATTGAAATTTCGGGTCTAACCCTAGAAGGTCATGTCCCAGAAACTAAACTCCATGCCCTGCACAGCATAATTTCTGGAATTATTCGCTCGACTTGTGTATATACACTGGTAGGGGACGCCCACCGATCGTTCTTACGGAACTCACTCGTTCCGTTGTGCCTTACGGACTCACTTTCGAGCCCAACTAGCAGCCACACAGCGGTGCATGATATAGGCAGAATGTTATTTCCGACAAAGACATGGGAGACTGGAAAGGTCATTTCTGGATCATTAGCCGTCGTCAGCCAGTCATACTTGACCCCGAAGTGTGGAACACCTAAGGCTTGATCCCGCGACCTGTTGGCTAGAAGTCCAACGCCCCTGGTCACTGAGCCACGAGCTCGTTGTCTTGTCGGTTGCGATCGGGAATATACAGTGGTGTTCCACACGTTGGGTTTTGCCTCCTCCGTTTTCCCGTCGTCGTCACTACATTGTGTTTGAACTCGTTGGAAGAGAGTTCTGACACAACTGTGCTTGTGACCTGGAATTGTGCCTCAGAACTTTCTTCACTTTCGGCGGTCGGGTTTACGAGCAGAAGAAGGGAACACCGATGGGATCCCCCCTGTCTGGGTTGATTGCTGAGGCGGTTCTTCAGAGGCTAGAACGACTGATCTTCCGTTCGTACTCCCCAAAACTCTGGGCCGGATATGTCGGTGACACATTTGTCGTAATCAAGAGGAACAACGTTCAGGACTTCAAGGTCTTACTGAACTCAATATTCCCCGACATCCAATTTACAATGCAAGAGGAGAACAACAACCAGTTGCCCTTCCTATACGTGAATGTTTCAAGGACGGTTAGTGGGAGGATAAGAACTACGGTATACCGTAAGCCGACGAATACTAGACGCATCCTTCAGTTCCGAAGTAACCACCCTATTGGTCACAAGCGCAGTTGTGTCAGAACTCTGTTCCAACGAGTTCAAACACACTGTAGTGACGACGACGGAAAAAGGAGGAGGCAAAATACCTACATTCTTTATTCACAGTCAATGGTTACCCACGATCCTTCATACGTGAGTGCCGAAGAAAGTCTACCCGTCAACGATCAGACGGTGAGAAGCCGAAGTTTTGGCTGGCGATCCCCTACGTGAAGAATGTTTCCGAGGCGACAGCTAGAATCCTAAACCCTTTTGGGATTGGAGTGGCCCATAAACCGGAATCCACCATCAGACAGCAGATAATGAGACCCAAAGACCCGCTACCGGCAACGGAACAATCAGCAGTGGTCTACAGCATACCGTACCAAAATTGCAATGCACGGTATGTTGGTGAAATGGGGAAACGCCTCTGCACAAGGTTGCATGAGCACCAGCTTGCAGTCAACCGCGAGGATAAACTGTCACTGGTATATGGCCACATGCAACAGGAGAAACATAGTTTCGCCTTTGGGGAAGCAAGCGTCCTCAGTCGGGCCCATGACAAGATGGCTAGGCTGGTACTCGAAAGCTGGTCCTCAGTTGGCACAATCAACAGGGCTATTGATCTTCATCCGGCCTACCAGGCGCTGCGTACAAAACTCCAGTCAGTCCAGACGGGGCCGACAGTACTGGCGAGCGAGTCGCGGCTCCTCCAACAGTTGTCACCTTCACAGCAGGGGGAAGGAGCCAGCCGGAGGTCACACGACGAACGCGAGACATCGCCCCACCGCGCGCCCAGACAGCCGAGCGTGATTCGCACATGCAACGGCAACTGATCAGTCCATCCGATTATGAGGTGAGGGCCCATGGGCACACAGGATTTGCAGCGATTACGACAGCCGGTCAGGGGGCAGAGGTCACAGGAGCGCGTCATTGGCCGCCCGCGGAGGAACCAAAGCCAATCCCCAGCCAGAAGGCAGGTCAGAGTTCGTGCGTCAGGCATGCTTATAACACAAGACAGGCGGCGAGGCAGAACAACTTCGAGCAAGCAGGAACAGACACCCCACCACTCTGATGATGGAAACGAGGAAGTTTCCGAAACGTCAGCACCAATACACTGTGGTCCATGCAATCGCCCCTTTTTCTTCTTCGTCTTCTTTTGGGGATGATGAACGGGATATATATATATATATATATATAATGGTAGGGACGCACACCGATCATTCATACGGAACTCACTCGTTCCCTTGTGCCTTACGGGCTATCTCTCGAGCTCAACCAGCAGCCACACAGCGGCGGATGATATAGGCAGAATGTCATTACCGACAAAGGCAAGGGAGACTGGAATGGCCATTTCTGGCTTATTAACCGTCTTCAGCCAGTCATACCCAACCTCGAAGTGTGGAACACTCGAGGCTCGAACTCGCGACCTGTTAGTTAGAATTCCACGCCTCTAACCACTGGGCCACGAGCCCGTTGCCCTGTATATTCCCGGTCGAAAACCGGCAGGGCAACAGGCTCGTGGCCAAGTGGTTAGAGGCGTGGAATTCTAACTAACAGGTCGCGAGTTCGAGCCTCGAGTGTTCCACACTTCGAGGTTGGGTATGACTGGCTGAGGACGGTTAATAAGCCAGAAATGGCCATTCCAGTCTCCCTTGCCTTTGTGAGTAACGCCATTCTGCATATATATACGCGTGGTGTGTTGTGCATTCCGACGTGATATTATAAAATATTGAGGCTCTTCGGAATATGGAGTTGTACTCGTAAGTTTTTAAGTCGGTGACACGGGCACGTCGTCAGACGAAATGAACATAGGAGAAAGTGAGATCGGCAGATCAGGTCGGCAGGACGCGACAGGACAGGCAGGTCGGTTGGCGCGACAGGACAGACAACGACAAATAGACAGCTGATGCGTGAATGGGGTGGGCACCGAGTTATAGTAAGCTTTGGAGCAGGGGAGGGAAGGGTGATCCGTTAGGGCTCCCTGTGTTGGAGGTGGAGAAAGAGCGGAGGAATCGCGGATCAGTGGGAATGACAGCGACTGGTCACTGATGCGAGATGAGGTCAGGGGCGCAATTCACCGGCGTTGGAGGTGTTAAGGGTTTCGGTTGTTGTTCCCCGTGTCGCCAGGGGGAAGGGACGGAATGGCGAGACAGCATACGGGGGGGGGGGGGGGGGGGGTTAGCAGTTGTTAGGGTGTGGGAACAAGACAGTGAGTGTGTATGCAAGCCCTCGTAGAGAGCTTCTAGATCGACATGACGGTTGATGCTGGTCATACCAGAATGCCAATCTTCGCGGAATTCTCGCACCTGTCTGGTGTTGGCCCTTGTGATTACTTCAGTACCGTCACAATTGGAGCCGTGGTCATACTCAACGGCGTGCGCAAACACTAGAGACAGAGGGTCACGTCGGCGGAGGGCTAACTTGTGCTCATTAATGCGAGTCTCAAAACATCGGCCTGTATGGTCAATATAAACACAAGGGCAGTTGGCGCACGAGATGCGGTAGATGACGTTAGTAAGTTGTTCTTTGGGCACCGGGTCCTTTACTAGGCATAATGCCTCGCGTAGGGAAGATGCGGGCTTGTAGGCGATGAAGATGTCAAAGTGTTTTAATTGCCGAGAGAATGTTTCCCAAGGAATTCTATCCGTCTAATCAAATTTCTTTGGGATGCCCGTTTTTCAATTCACATATATATATACAGTAGGTGGGCTAACTCATGAAATGCCAACAGAAATTTCTAAATGCGTTTTCGTTTTGAAAAGATTAATTAAGTAGGGTAGTAAAACTTATAATTATGCAGCCTAATTCTATGACGATTCCGTTACCTCAGGATGCTGGCTTTCGAAAAAACTCCTATTTGGCTGCATGCAAGACCTATACACGGCAAAAAAGGACTACTTGAGTAGCATGTACTTTTCTCATTGATTTTCAGTACTCTTAAAGGTTAAATTATATTTCATGGAAAACATGAATAAAAATACTTACCCTCGCTCATTCGGTCAAGAGTTACGCCTTCTTCCAATTTTGTGCTCGGAGAAAGTGTATAATTCGGTTTTCAAAAACTTTTCCTATTCCCGAATAATTTTGAACCCGACCTGTCGTTACACCTGCATTCAGGGTTTACAAACTACAAGCCATATATTTTCTGAGTACGGAAAACTATACGTTTCTCTACGGCATTAAGAGGAGACTTCACGGGGTTCATAAAATTTGGCAGTGCATTTGAGCCATACTGTTAACTTTACAAGCAGCATTAGTAAATGCAGAGACATGACGTTTTATGAACGGTCATTTTACGGTATTAAATAACATCACAATTAGAAACTTTTTAAAAACCGAATTATACTCTTTCTTCGAGCGCAAAATTAAACGAAAACGTAATCTTCTGCAGAATGAACAAAAAAAATGGATGTTTTCCATGAAATATAAGAGCACTTTTAAGGGCCTCGAAAATCAATGAGAAAAATGCATGCTACTCAAGTAGTCATTTTTTTACAGTGTATAGGTCTTAAATGCAGTTAAATAGGAGTTTTTTCGAAAGCTGGCATCCTGAGGTAACTGAATTGTCATAGAATTATGCTGCACAATTATAAGTTTTATTACCCTACCTAATTAATCTTTCCAAAACGAAAACGCATTTCGAAATGTCTGTTGGCATTGCATGATTTAGCCCAACTACTGTATATATATGTGCATATATATGTA